GTAACACTCACTAAAAGACTCGACAGATTTCCAGCAACAACTCGGAATTTAAAAGATTCATTTAAAAACTCTTTCTTTTATAGGCCTAATTATCCTTATAGGGTCCTAATTATCATTACTATAATAAACTTGGAGCCTATAAATTTGACCTAAAAAATTTTTCAATCTTTCAGGTTTTTACTATGGAATAATTTACCCTGCAGCACAGAAAATAGCACTTCATGAAAAGTATATTTCGGCGAAGTTTGCTTATCCTGGATAGCTGATTCACATAATTCACCAATTTCGCATTCAGTTTAGAAATATTGAAAAGAGGCCTTCGTTCGATGATCACAAGTAACTGCTTGCTCGCACGACAAATCTGAAGCTGTCCAAGCGTTTACGCAAGAATGAATATTTTTCACATCCAGCACAATTTTTTTAAAAAAAAAAAGCATGTATCTTTCCGTTAAAAAGATCGAGCGACATACTGAAAACCACTTTCCTGATCTCTCATTTTTAATCTGGGCACTTTAGCATTATTTCTTTTGGAAGAATTGAAAAAAGTCAAAACTTCCCCCATATTTACCCTTCATGAGATGCTGGCTGCCAAATACTCGCTTGGACCACTTCCAGAGTGCCTCCTGCGAATATGGAGAGGATTTTTGAATTTTTTACTTTTGAGAGGTGGGAGTAACCCGAATGGCAGAACGAGCCAGCAATAACCATCCATTGGAAGGCTCTCGAGGGCCACACACGAGCATGCTGAAGGCGGCTTTAACATCTTGGCATATGATAGTACCAATTTACCATCGAAACGAACAAATTTGCAGACAGAATGGCCGTTTTACCGGCCTAATTGTAACACAAGAGCAAGTAGGCCAGTTTTCCACTGTACTATGTCACTAAAAGACGAGCAAGAGATTTTTCAGTGGTTTCTCAAGCAACACTTTAATTTAATATCCGGGAATCACCAGTATGCATAGGTGGATCCAGGACAGCCTCCTATGGAGAGAGGGGAGCTGGAAGAGGATTTTCTTCAGTTTTACAT